AAACACTTGGGTACACTCGGTGTTTATACCACTCCCTTTTTGGTTACAAACACTCGGGTACGCCCAATGTTTACATCGCTCTCTGTTTTGTTTAGAAGCATTGGGACGTGTGCCCGATGTTTAAAACCCTTCCTTGGGTTAGAAGCATTGGGTCGTGTGCCTAATGTTTATACCTTCCTTTGGTTAGAAGCATTGGGACGTGTGCCCGATGTTTATACCACCCCCTGGTTAGAAGTGTTTGGAACGTGTTTCGATGCTTATACCACTCTATTCTGGTTAGAAACATTAGGACGTATGCCCGATGTTTATACCACCCCTCTGGTTAGAAGCTTTTGGAACGCATTCCGATGCTTATACCACCTCTTTGGTTAGAAGCATTGGGTCGTGTGCCCGATGTTTATACCTTGCTTTGGTTAAAGATACTCGAGTACGCCCGATGTCTATACCACTTCCTTTGGTTAGAAGTGTTTGGAATGTATTTCGACGCTTATACCTTGCTTTGGTTAGAAACATTGGGACATGTGCCCGCTGTTTATTCCCCCTCCCAGTTAGAAGCATTTGGAGCGTGTTCCGATGCTTATACCACTCTGTTCTGGTTAGAAACATTGGGATGCGTGCCCAATATTTATACCACCCCCCCGGTTAGAAGCGGTTGGACGTGTTCCGACGCTTATACCACTCTGTTCTAGTTAGAAACATTGGGACGTGTGCCCAATGTTTATACCACCCCTCTGGTTATAAGCGTTTGGAACGTATTTTGACATTTATACCACTTTGTTTTGGTTAGAAACATTGGAACATGCTCTGATGTTTATACCACCCTCCGGTGTTTGCACTGCTCTCTTTTCCCTCTCGCGCGCGGTGCGTTAGGACGCTTTGGTTAAATGCATCTGGATGAATTCCAATGCTTATACCGCTCTTTGCTTTGAAGGCATAATGGTTGGATGTGTTTCACTTGATATCACCACTTCTTTCCTCGCATGTGCCATACGTTGGGATCATGTTTGCCCCCTCGGGTGCACCCGACGGTTGTGGTTCTTTTACCTTTCCTGTGTGAGGCGCAGTTAAGATTGCATAATTTTCTTACATCCTTTCTGCATGAAATGTGGTGTGGTTCATGTTAACTTGCTTATGTATAAGTTTGCTATAGCATTTCTTTGCACAACATTTGCATCTAGATGTTTCATTACAACCCTCATTTCATGATCATAAGTTATGTTATGCATTGTGTATCATTAGCATCTTGCCCCAGAACTATGCTGGTTTGATTTCTTGCAAAGGGATACGTAGGCAGCCTATGGGCGCAACTGTTCTTTGCATTGTTTGCTTGTTTGTCTGAGTCTTCGGCCTCATAAAAAATGGGTCGTCTCCGGGGTTTGACATTAACTCCTGTCATTTCGTGACTTCTGAGTTCTGTCAAAGAGGGGCAATTGTAGACACCCCATTTTTGACTGACCTCAAGACTTAGATGTTATCGTTTGTACACTCGATGATTGTCCTTGTCTGTGCTCAGTTTGAGTGCCCAAAGTTCTAGGTGGAACGCCTTGTCTTTGAGCCTCTAAACCCTATTTGTTTTGTACTTGTTTCTGGACCAAACCTTGGTGCCTCTCGCCTGGAGGGGGGAAGGGCCTTGTCGGCCACTTGAAGTGGCCGGTCGGCTAGGTGAGGTGGATGATGGCCATTTTTCTCTTTTTTCATATACTTTCTTAGCCAGTTGTGCCAACTGTTGTTCACTGAATGCCATCTCCATACACATGTATGGAGGGATGAATGCATGCCTTTGGCTTGGATTTCTATATAATGGAGGGTCTCTCCACCATTTGGAGAGGTTAGATAATTAGTGAGCAAATTTCCTCTGTCTCTCTCTCTCTAGAATTATCTCTCTCTCCCTATTTTGTGCTTGAAAGTGAGAATTCTCTACACTTTTGCACTAAAACCCTTAACCAAACATCTTCGTCTTGGAGCTGAGGTTCTTTGAGGCTTAGTTTGAGCTTCTAAGGGTGGTTTGAGCTCAGAATTGTGATTGATTTTGTGCTGTGCTTCAAGAGGTAAAGACTTACCTTGTAGGCTTTGTTTAAGCCAATTGAATTGCCATCTTTTTACACTATTTTTGGCATGATTTTCAATTATAAAAAACTTTGATTTTTGTGCCTTAACATGTTGGTTTGAGATCATTTTGTGCAAAGGGGTAGTCCACCCTTCTTGTTACCTAATTGTGAAGCTTTTTGCATCATGTTTTAGCATAGTCAAACCAAACCTTTTGGCCCTTTAAACCATTGAAATTCAAAGTTATTTCAGTGGTAAAAAGTGTGTTTTGAAGTCCAAAAATGGAGGGGGTGGCCTCCCCTCCTGTGTCTCACTTCCATGCCTAGTTAGCATCCTATAATAGCATGTTTTTATGGCTTAACCTAGCTTAATCCAAGCATGTTTTAGGCTCTGATTTGGCATGATTAGCTCTGTTTCGGGCTACTTTGATCATATGAACCATGTTTTGTATAGTTATAGTGCAAATGCCTTCACTTGTTTAGTGTTTTAGGCCTCTAAACATGTTTTGCTTGAGATGATTGCATGTTGCAGCGTCATTGAACATGTAATTTCAGTGTTTATGCTCATTTATTTCACTCTTTCATTGCTTTTGAGAGTTGTGTTTTGAGTCTTGTTTGTAAGCTAACATGTGAGCATGTTTTTCTAGTCTTTTATGCTTCAATCTCAGCATGTTTTAGCCACTATTTTAGCAAGTTTTCGCTCTATTTTGAGCTAGTTTGGTCAGTTGAGCTTGGTATTGCATGCCTCTAGTGTAGTGTTCTTCACTAGTTTAGTGCTTTCGCTTTTGAACATGTTGTGCATGAGTTGCTTACATGTTGTAGTATCATTTTTCATGCCATTTCAGCACTGAAATATTTGCAACCTCCCTCATTTCTTCACTTTTCCACTTGTTTTGAGGGTTGGTTAACCTTAAGGTTGTGTTTAAGCTTGAGATAGAGCTTGCGCTCAATGGTTTTAATCCTCTTTTGAGGGTTTCTACTAACCAACGACATGATCTCTCTCATGTCTTAAGTCACCCTTTGGTTGACCCCTCTCTCATTAGAGGACACTCACCTTGGACTTAACTAGTTAAAGAATAATTCAGTAATGTAAAATGTGTAAACAAAACATGACAAGTAAAACTTGAGCAAGTTAAGCATGTTGTGTTGCATTGCATGTGTTTGGATCAGACGTTAATCCAAACACAAGAAATTTGGGACGTTTTATACTCAAAGTGATGAAACATGTCACGTTTCTTGGTCATCGTCACCCTTGATCATGCATGACATGGTGGTGGTCCTTTGAGTCTTATTTGTGCATTCATTAAGCTTGTACAAGCTTGACTCTTTGGCTATCATGCATTGAAAATGCTTGATTGGTGACTTGAGAGCCAAGTGCTACACTCTTTTGAGCTTGAGAAATGATAAAGAGGGTGACAGTGCACACATTTCTTGAAAATTGCATTGCTTTGCCTCTGTTGCTTTCTGTTCCAGCAAAAACAGAACTATGTGTTTCGTAGAAAGAATATAAGCAATTAGGTGGGATGATATAAGTGAGGAATGATCTGCTGAGGAAAGATAATGATCCTACATGTTAAATGCAACAAAAAAAAGTACAATGCAATGGATGCAATGGATGCGGTGAATAAGGCGCAAGTCGAACCATATCTTACCTAGAAAAGGTATGGACACAAAACAGACCACGTCTAACACATAAAAGGTACCGAAACCCTCAGACCACAATTCTCTTAGTGGAATAGGCACGTACACATTATCACAGAACCATGCTTTAACGTGAAAAGTATGGGCACATGCCAAACTAAGCTTAACATGGAAATGACAATATGATAAAACAGATAATGCAGTAGATGCATGCGATATATACGACATGCAATGGAAATGGTAGATGTGATGCAATAGATAATAAATGCGATGTAGCAGCAAGGACGTGAAAGTACCTTACAAAGGCAATTGGTGATGACTCACCTTATGCTGTTGGGGATCTTCCTCTTCTTCTTGGTTCATCTATAGGTACTACTTTTCTCCTTGGCTATGTTCGCAACTTTTCCTATTCTCCAACAAGGTGACAGACTAGGTTGGTTTAGTATCTAGAATTGAGACGCATACACGTTACCTAACCTTATGGAGCTGCCATACAGATTTCAAGCTGAGAATACACCCCTAGGTATTTAAACCAGACTTTAGTCTCAGAAATCCCGAACCTTTGCGTTCTAGGCATTGGCCATTCTAACTCTAGCTTCCACCGCTTCAGTTGATCTCCTAGGAACTCATCGCCAACTCAGTCAGTCGTTTCGGCACGACAAACACCAAAGGAATTACACCTTTAGAGAATTTAAGGTCTCTTTGCCCAGTGGATTTAAGGTCTCCCACTACGATAAAACTGAGTTTTACGGCTCCACATTAACGACATATAGTAAATGCAAGCCGTGGTTTCTCACTTTTACGACTTTCTTCTTTTGCATGTCGTAAATAATTTCCCAACCACGACGAGTCCATTGCGTAGGCCGTAAATGCTAATAATGATGATTTTTTTACGGCTTGCAATATTAGCCGTAAATAATAAAACTTTCTATGACGTGCATATAACATGCCGTTAATACATCAACTATACACAACACGCGTACACTAGCCGTTAAAAATATTAAACATTTCACAACGCACAAAAAGTCAGCTGTTAAAAGTATTTCACTTTTTACGGCACACAAAAAGTTAGCCGTCAAAAATTACACTTTTTACGACACACATATACTACCTGTTAACAATATTCTACTTTTCATGACATGCAATTTCTGTCGTGAATAGTATGACCAAAATAAAAATAGACATCAAAATAAAAATTTGAGCACCAAACACTAAAAAAAAATGTAAAAAAAAATCAAAAACCCCCCAATCAAAAACCCTAACCTCCTACTTATCATCATCAACAAATCAAACCTCCACTGACTCCTCCACACTCGATCCAATCTTCCACGTCATATACGGTCCAAACCATACACGGTTACACACACACACACTCTCTCTCTCTCTCTCTCTCTCTCTCCTCTGCCTCCGACGCCACTGCCACTGTGACTGCCGCACCGCCGCCGCCATCACCTCCGTTACCGCCCTCCCTCTCTCTCTCTCTCTCTCTCTCTCTTCTTGGCCTGTTGTTTCAGGACATCGATTTGCTTCCGCCAACACTTCCGTCTTCACCATCTTCATGCCATTTTTGGACGACGACGATATGAGATATGAAGGCTTCAAATCTGTTGGGTTTGTGGTAGATTTGAGATGTGAGGGCTCTTCCTCTGCTGCTACAACCACCGAGATGAACGATGGAGGCTAAATCTGTTTGAAGGCTTCAAATCTGCTGGATTTATGGTAAACCTGCTTGATCGATCTCATTTTGTGCTTTGATTTGGTTTTTTTTTTAAGATTGATATTAATCATTGAAGATGTTTGGGAGAGCACCTAAGAAGTGCGATAACACAAAGTACTATGAAATTCTTGGGGTTTTGAAGAACGCTTCACAGGATGATCTGAAGAAGGACTATCGTAAAGCTGCCATCAAAAACCATCCTGATAATCCTGAAAAGGTACTCAATTTCTGTTTAAATTTCTCAAAGATATGCTCTTTGGATCTATATATATATATATATATATATGTATGTATATGTTTCTAGATCTATATCTGGGTCAACAATTTATTAAATTGTAAGGGGTGTTCGATTATATAATTTAGGTTTTTTAGATTGTAAAATTTCCTAAACTTTAGGACTATACAAAAGAAATTGGTAGTTTACGAGAATATGATAATAGTTTAGGGGATGAGTGAATTAAACCTTTACTTTTTCTTCTTTCTAACCTGAAATTGCATTGGTAGGTATGTTTCATTGGAATTTGTGTATTTGTGGGTTGAACAAAGAAAACTTAAATTATTTGTGTGCTGTGAATTTGTTATGAATATTTCAGCAATACCCAATTCCCCCTTCTCATTGTAAACTCTGAAACTAGTACAAATTAGTACAGAATGACTCTTTATCTTTCTTGTATAGAAATTGGTTTGTAAATTTTTAGTAGCCTACATAATTTGTTGTGCTTTTTTTCTTATTTCTAAAGTTACTGATGATTTTTCATGAGTAGACTCAAGGTTAGCTAAGTAGTTTGGAAATTCTTGTACTGAATAGTTCCCCAAGCTCAAATTGAAATATTTTTGGTTGATTGAATTTTCTAAGATAATAATCATGTTGCGTTTGCAAGTATTCAGTGCATTCATATCGTGGAACTTCAATTGTGTTTTTTGGTAATTTTCATTCATATTATGATTTTTTGTTGATAATATCGTATGGGTTTCTCACAATTTGGAGTAATTGTTCTTTACCTGGTCATATACTAATGTTACATATTCAAAAAAATTATCTAAAAATTGCATTAGGGGACCAAATTATTCGGTGTGGCCTATATTATATTAATTTAATTTTAATTTTACATTATACACACTTCAATTTTGAGATAATTTTCAATACACATTCTAGTTGCATAACATTTTTCTAAGTGTACATCTCCTCAAGCCAAGATTAGCTAGGAAAGGTAAAAGAAGCATAAAAAACAAACAAACAATTTTTTTTTTCTCAATACCTGCTTGACTAGTAAATAATAGAGAAATTACAATATCAATTCATAAAGCTTTTGAATAGTCAGCAGAGGATTCTAGAAATCATGTGTAGGAGGCATGGTTTTAAACAATGTGTACGTATTTTGCTGGTATTGAATAGTATCAACTGGTATATTAGTAAATATTGATATCAAAAATCTAATCGATATAAAAACTCTAAAATCATGCATATCGGCTAATAGGGGCGATGACAAAGCATCAGTGTGTATGTACAAAATTGTGCTTTTGTGTGTGAATGATAATCAGATTTATTTTGGGCAAAGTAAACAAACTACAATGGGCTTTCAAGCAAATTCACTTCAAATCATCTGCTCAATCCCTCCACACCAAAACCTTATTTGACTTTCTACAAATCCTCTAATAATTTATTTTTTTAGAAAAACAAAAGGGAAAAAAGAAAAAGATGACAAGGATGTAAAGAAGGTGCATGAATGTGTCTATCCCTAAACAGATGTGATGGGGAAAAAATGTAGTGTCTATGACACTTCCAAGAAAAATAAAATCACAGAAAAGTCACTATATTTTGTATTTATGCCCTTCATTACTGTGATCTTCCCTATATATTTTGTATTAATGCCCTTCATTACTATGGAATATCAAGTGCATGCACCATCTACTAGATGAAATATTAGATAAGAACAATTTGTGTTGAATAAGAATTGGATATATCCATCCAGCTTGATATGCCATAGTAGTACCCCAAAAAAATTACAAAAATACAAAAACAATAAAGTGCTTATTGATAGTCTTAATGGTTAATCAAGTTGATAGAATATACTCAACTAAAGGACTTATAATAATAGAAGACGAATGACAATTTTGTCAAATTTATCTCCTCAATGTAATTCACTAAGATTAGCAAGGATTCAAGTTCAACTACAAGATTTTCACCTCTTTTTTCTTTTTTTTTTTTAATAATTAATATGCATCTCTTTAAATGAAATAGGGATTGCTTTAAATGATGGTGATTGATATGTACAGAAATTAAAACAAAATACTAATTAATACGAAAAATACTGTGGAGGAATTATTATTATCACAAGCTAGTTGTTGAGATAATAATGCACATAATGTGGATGGAAAATGCATCTGAATAGAAACAGATACACTTGTCCAATAAGTGAAAATTTTGAAATATTATTAACTAGCTACAAGGAACAATTGCCCTTCATTTATAGTAGCTACTCATATACCAAAGCCAATATCTCATATGAATGTAATCTCTTGGTGATTGCTATACTATACTACATATATTTGTTAAATTTGTTTCACTTGGCATCTTCTTGAAATGAATGGGATTCCACCTTTCTATTTCTTTTCATTTTTTAGTCATTCATTTATGCAATTAGCGATACCATGAGTTTTACTTGCATTGTATAACTGTTGTGATTATATCAATTAGTTCACACATGAAGTTCTACAGTTAAAAATCCAATATGCAGAAAAATTTACAAATGTAATGTTATTTGTTGATATGGAATTATCTTCCTTTTTCTTTTTGGTTGAATTTTGATGGGCTACACACAATGGGGGATTGCCCTCTCCTTGACCATGACCCTCCCCACCCTAAATTAATTTTTGTCCCCTTATCACAGGTTTATTAATGATGTGACTGTGTTGTTATTAAGGCTGTAGAATGTGCTGAACTACTGGAGCTTGGTTCAAGAATAACTAGATTTGCACCTTTTCAAACTCATACACATGATTAATAGTGACCTTCTTTCAGATTCTATGGCTTACCAACCTTTTCAAAAACTGATATAGATCCTTTCGGCAATCAAATGTCAAAGTGTGCAGGTAGAAGCTTGGTGGGTTCTTTAAAAACAATTTCTCTTGTTTGGGGAACCTTTTTCTTGAAATGGCATTACAAAATAGCCATTATTGTTCTGGGTATTGTTTATATAATAATGCTACTCTCTTTGAAATGATATAATCTAGCTACTATTTTAGCATTGGGAAGTCATGTTTTTAGAAATATAGGCTGGACTTGGCATATCATATTATGCAACTTTTAGGAGAATATAGTAAGCCAAAGACGTGCTTTATATCCTAAATATTTAGGGCAAATTGCATTGCCATTTTCTGTTGCTTTTGGTGCATAATTTTTTCTGTTTTTTATCATGGCCATAATTTTTTCTGTTTTCTATACATCCTAAAAGGAAAAGGTTGTGTCTTTTGTATATCTGATGGTGGACCTAATTTTTTTTATTGTAGTTCCTTGTTGATCTGGGTGTGTGTGCCAATTCAACAATAGATTCTGATTATTTACATGCTTATGGCTTGGTGTCTGAAGTTCAGGCCTTCACCGTTTGAGATGTTTAGAGTTGTTTGATATTGAAGTTGAAAGCAATGGCCTCGGTCATCTTGTTGGTTAGACTTTGCCTTCTACTTATAGGATGTTAAACAATTTAAATACATTAATATTTTGACAGGTTGGAAATTGAATCTCTCTTTATTCCGCTACTTTGACAATGGATATCATTTGCTTCTTTTGCATGCGTTTTGTTCTTATTTCTAAATTTCATAAGCCACCTTTTGCTGCTTTTCCTACATATGCATGCTTATGATGTTTTATGACTGTAATTATATTATATGTATGCATGAGTGTATTATGTTGATTCCTTAAGCCAGTTAAGGTTCTGGGTGGAGATTGGTTCCTAGCTATGCATGCTTATGATGTTTTATGACTGGAATTATATTTTATGTATGCATGAGTGTATTATGTTGATCCCTTAAGCCAGTTAAGGTTTTGGATAGAGGTGAGTAACTGGGCAGGCGTGGCAATAATGAATGTGGGAGTGTTGGGATGAACTAAATTGTTAGTTCAATAATTTCATATAATGCTTTTAAATGATCACGGGAAAAGTATTGTGTGATTACTTGAAGAAAATATTTTTTCATTTCGGCAGAACTCAAGATAACTGCCTATTCAAACAGGCCTTGCTATAGGATATGGAGAGGATAAGAATAAATTTATTTATTTCTTTATAGTTGTCTATTGGAAAAGTAAGGCCTGTTTGAATAGGTAGTTATCCTGAAATGTGGTTAATTGGTGTTAACTAGGCGTCGGCAAAACTCAAGAGAATTTGGATCTCCTTGAAATGTGGTGTTAGAGGACACACTATACTAGTAGTCATAGCTCATGATTGAAGATCTCCTTTCAAGGAGACCTAAAATCTCTTGAGATAGTGACATCTTGTTTAGGTCTTTTATGATTGGGGTTGCATGCAGCAACTTCTTATCCCCTCCTATATGTATACATGCATAAATGACTTGCTCACATTGGCTTGTTTGTCAGGTGCTGACATGTTTACATGCTAGACACACTAAATGTATAACTTGCCAAAGTTATTCAATTTTCTTCACCTATTTTTTGGGATGAAATGAAGTGTTTACATAACATATTGCGTTGTGAATTGAAATTTAAATAAACTCCATATATCCATGAGCCCAATCAAAGATAAAAGTAAAAACCAATTACGAAGAGGACTATTTTCATCTCTTTTGGTCAGACATGTGAGTTGGATACACAATTGGTTACAGGCATCCATGCTTTTGTTTCAAGTGTCCATATTTTTCATTGTCATAATTGTAGTTAAGTATCATATATTGTTTTAATTTGTGTAATCATATCTTCTACTAGTCTCTTTCTCAGGTTTGACTAGTCTGGTGAGTATAAATCTGTCATTCACTGTTACAGAATTATGAGGAGGGCTTTTAAGGGGGCAAGGGTAGGTAGGATTAGAGTCCTTATTTCATTGAGGGTTGCTTTTATGCAGTGAAGAAAAGCAGAAGGTTGTTACATCAGTATACAGAAAGGTACCTTTTCCATGCTTATAGATATCAATACCCTCTAATGAAAAATTAGAAAAGAAGAAAATGATTAGCTTAGGGATTATTCCTATAGTTCATTATCTCATGTATTTGCTACTAAGTACTCAAGTAGAATTACATTACATTGTCCCAAAAAGTGCCTAAAGCTACTAAAACTTATCTAAATTTCTTCTATAATGGATTGAAAGTTTCTTTTTAAACTTGTAAATAATATAGACTCTAATTTGACTTGGACCTTTTATTTTGGAACTTACAATGGTAATGGATAAAACCTATACAAACTTAAACCTCATACATAGAGATCCTTTAACATAATTATGCAATTCCCCAAGTGGGTGCTGCATTGAAGTAAATTAATTCCATTTCTTTCTCTTTTTTAAATTTGACTTTTCTCTTGAGCTTCTTATGGCCTGGATTTAGTAGCAAACTATTGAGATCTTGAATTTTTGCTAATTTTTTATTATGACATTGCTTTTATGGAGCCATTGAATTATCATGTTTTGTTGATGTTTTAAAATTTCTTGAACATTTCTTAATACCTCAAGAAATATTTTTGCCCCTGAATCCTTGATTTTTGTACTTATGTGAAGTTTCCTTTGTCATGTAGACAAGAAATGCAACAAGGTTAGTTGCTCCAGCTATTGCTGCGGGTTTAGGTGCCTTAACACATAAAATCGGCACCCTCGTCCCTGTGATAGGAGCAAGTGGATTTACTACAACTATTGCTGCAACTGCAACTACTATAGAAACTGTTGTCGGTAGTTTTAGATAATCTCTTAATAGTTGTCGATATGTTTAGAAAGTTAGATATGCATAGTTTTGGATGGTTTAAACTTTTTTTACAGTTTAGAATTTAAGGATATAGTGTTTGGAATGTATAAACAATTGTTAAATGTTTATAATTTATGGATATAGTTTCTTTTTGATGTTTCAAATAATATTTTGGTGGTTGATTGATGTTTTGTGATGCTTGTTTGTAATATTTGTTAGATTGTACAAAATTGGTCAAATAGAACTTGCTGAAAAAAAAAAAAAAAAAGAATTGCATATTCTACGGCAGGCATAATAAGTCGTATTACATATTTTACGGCACGCAATCAGCGTCGTTATTTGTCTCACCAACTAACGACGAGCAAAAATAGTCATAGAAAAAGTAATAATGATGCACAAGATTTGTCGTTAAATAATTTTTAACGGCGTACCATAGCATGTCGTAGAAAAAGTAACAATGACGTACAAACTCTGACGTTAAATAGTTTTGAACGGCGTACGAAGCATGTCGTTGAATGAATAACTTTCTATGATTAGTCATAATATGACGCGCGTTGCACGTCGTAAAAGAGTTTTTACGGCGTGCATTGCGTGTCGTAAAAACTTTTTTTTGTTGTAGACCAGTGAGTGCACAAGACAATGCAAATCAAGATGTAGGATTTAAGGTCTCCTAACTAGTGAGTGCACAAGACAGTGCGATACACAAGAGAGTGCAAGTGAGGGTGAAATGCACATGATAGTGCTATACAAGTGCACAAGACAGTGCGAGCTCAAGGTGCACAAGACAGTGTGATGCAAGTTGAAATGCACAGGATAGTGCGATGCAACGCACAAATAGTGCGATGAAAGATAAAATGCACAAGATAGTGCGATGCAAGTTGCACAAGACAGTGCGATACAAAGTGAAATGCACAAAATAGTGCGATGCGCAAGATAGCATGATGCAGGTGCGCAAGATAGTATGATGCCGGTGCACAAGACAATGCGATGCGGGGTGCACAAGACAGTGCAAGCTCAAGGTGCACAAAATAGTGCGATATGGGTGAATGCGCAGGATGACGCGATGGAGGTGCACAAGATAGTGCGATACAAAGGTGAATGCGCAAGATAGCGTGATGCCGGTGCACAAGATAGTGCGATACAGGGTGCACAAGACAGTGCGATACAGGGTGCACAAGATAGTACGATACAATGGACAAACAAGTGTATGTAAGGTGCGCAAAATAACGCGACGCAATGCGCAAACAAGTGCAAACAAGTGCAGGTAAGGTGCACAAAATAGCGTGATGCAATGCACAAACAAGTGCAGGTAAAGTGTACAAAATAGCACGATACAATGCACAAACAAGTGCAAGTAAGGTGCACAAAATAGCGTGATGCAATGCACGAACAAGTGCAAGTAAGGTGCGCAAAATAGCGCGAGCAATGCACGAACAAGTGCAGGTAAGGTGCGCAAAATAGCGCGACGCAATGCACAAACAAGTGCAGGTAAGGTGCACAAAATAGCGCAATGCACGTTCTATGGAAAACATACGAGCATTTTCTATGCAAGACGAGAGCATGTAATGAAATGCACAAGATAGTGCGATGCACAAGAAAGAGCGAGTGTAAATTGCACAAAATAGTGCGAGTGTGATACAAAGTGCACAAAATAATGCGAACAAAGAAAATGCACAAAATAGTGCGAGCAAAGTGAATGATTATGTAATAAATGTACTGAGTGAGATTATTGTGCGATAGATGCACATAAGTGAGATTATTATGCGATAGATACACAAAAGTGAGATTATTGGTTCACAATGCAATACATTGACAATGCATGTTCCATGCAAGATAAACAACTGATGCATGATGTTCATTGAAAGCATGTTCTTTGCATGAATAAACGCATATTCTATGCATGATCAAAAGCATGTTCTATGCATGAATGAAAGCATATTTTATGCGGAATTGAAAGCAATCATATTCTATGCATGAATCATAAATGATGCGAGGCACGCATGCAACATAAGTGTATATGAAAGTGCACATACTATGCAATAGGTTGGTGCCTTCGATTTACCTCTAGAAGGACTTTGCAATACGCTTAACTCAAAAAGGATACATCTTGTTCATATTGGCGAGAGGTAACATCTGCATGTGCTTTAATTGCCATTCTGCCCTAAAGCAGGCTTAAACTTAGGGTCAAGGTACACTCATACTCCAGAGAAAGGCGAGGCCTGAGAAGGTGCACCTGGAATGCAGTCTCAGAATTTGCCGAAGTTGAAACACACTAAGATGATGCTCCTAATTTTCCCTCTTTTATTTTGCTTTGCAGTCTGGAACCCATATAGCTTCAGATAGGTCCTGGTTCGATTGTTCTCATATGACGTCGGTTGAGCCCTACAGTTTATGAACAAAAGAATCCTGTTTTGCACATATGTTGAGAATGGCACTGCACAAAACGATTTATTTTTGAAATTGAAACCAAGAATGAGTTCTTAATCAGGTATTGAGCCTACGACTGACCACAATCAAAACGACTCAACAAGGAAAACAAAGGTAAAATAGCCTAAACACATCTATTGACACTCGAAATGACTCAAAACAAGAATCGAGACAAACAAAAATAACAGACACAACCTTGGACATTCTGCTACCCATCGGTGGGAGACGTTTCGATTCACGAGAAGCCTGTTTCTTCGGATATTGTTTCCCACTCTTTCTCATTTGTGATTCTCACATCACTCTGGCACTCAATCTCTTTTTCTCTAAAAAGCCTTTTCCTCACTTTTTCTCTCAACGCACACCTCTCTATTCTTTAATCTCTCTTATTTTTTATCCCTTCCCGGGGTGGTTGATGGATAAGCAGGAAGTTGTAGACTCTTGCCCCGAGTATTCTACTAGATTCTTCTTCTTTGGCTCACAACTAGTGAGCTTTCCCACAGAGGGATTATGGCGCGACTGGATGTGCAGTAGATCTACAACTGACATCGGTTAACGACACCTCTGGCTTAGCTTGATTGAGGGGAGTTACAGCATGTCCTGTCGGCTAGGTATACAGTTGATTGGTCTGACACATTGCGTTTTCTACGTCCCCATTCCGGGTCAGATGCCAATTTGAGAGTGATCATCCAGATGAGGGGACTGAATATCTAGCTCCATTTTCAATTCGTGCTTCGCACTTGGCTTGATACCTCACTTCTTGGAGGATGAGAGAGGTTTTGGTCTTCTGCTGTTCGCTTAAGCTGTGCCTTTTTTGGCAAGTATGGTGCCCTTTCCTGGCAAGTATGGTGACAATGGGGAAAATGCAAAAAACCTGACTCAACTATGCCCCTAGTTCATCATTTTGACCATTTTTTGTTTTGCTTTCTGTGAAAACAATTTTGACCAACATGAGAGTTAGATTAACATACTTGTTCGATTTTTTGATTTGAAATCATGCAAGTCAAGTTGTAAGCACTGAAAATTTTCCCTTTTTTGGTACAAAAAATGGTCCAGTTTTGGAAAAATGAAATAATTTTTAAGAAAACTAGTTAACCTCACTAAAAATCTTCAAAACTATTTTTGCAAATGGCCATTGCTCAACCAACATGGAATCTACTCTCGAGATGCACAACCGCAGATCTGAATTTGATTTATCTTGCAGCTGAGTCTTTCTAACGGAATAAGATAGTCTGATTTTGAATGAAGCAGAGCCAATTTGTACATGGATAGGATAGCCGAGTTGAACAAAGATAAGCCAATCAACATGGATGAGCCAAGCAGGCCAAAAATGGTTGGGGCCGGACTTTAGGATGAAGCTGCCTACGTATCCCAAAGATGGGAATCAGGCCGTACGTAGTTCCGGGTTAAGGTTCACTTGGGTGTTGACACTTTCCTTTTGTGCCCTAACTTTTGCCAAAGCTGCGCTTCTGGGTTTTTGACCTTGCAAGCTATGTTTTTCTTTTCCTTTCATTTCTTCTCTTCTTTTCTTTTCTTTTCTTCTTTTTCTTTTCATTTCTTTTCATTTTTGTTCTTTTCTTTTCTTGTTTCTTCATTTTTGTTCTTTTCTTTTTCTCTTTTTCTTGCTCTAATTTTTGCCTGGGTCCCCTTCCAGGTTTTCGACCCAGTGAGCCTCTCAAGAATAGAAAAGTTTAACTTGTCCATGTTGATCGATTTTGATATCTCCAAGCCATCTGAATCCAGGAGAATGGCTGTTGTTTGTTGATGATGTAGGAGTCCATCCAACTGGGTCTGAATTGCCCCTAGTGTTGTGGAAAAGAACTCAATTGTCCTTCAACAATAAATTTTCTTCTTCCAGCTCTTGGAATTTGGCTTTCTTGCTGGTCTTCATTGTTTTGCGGAATGACCCATACTTTGAATCTTTGAGCACATCTGACATTTTTACCCCTAGTTCAAGAGCTACTTTTGTTATAGCTTTGCAAGCTTCCTTTGACGACATCTGACCTTATTGCCCCTAGTTCAAGGGTTGCTTCTAATCCACCCATACAAGCCTCATGTTTTGGTAGATCTTTGAACATTCTGAATCAAAGTTCAAGGTTTGAAAGCAAAAGAAGTCGAGTCTTGAGGCCGAGAGTGATCCTATGTTGTATAATCTCGAGAGTGATTCCAACACATGTCTTCGTAGGACCACGCAAAACATTATTTGAAATCTTTTAATAAAGTAACTAGTTGCTCAAGCTCCTCTGAAGACAATGTAGAACCAATCGGGATCAAGCCAGGATCCTTCTCAGTACTCACATTAACAAACATGATCTCATTCCTTAAGGGCTTAGCATGCCTCTCTTTCTCTCAGTTGATCAAATTTTTGCAAATTCCGATTAATTCCTTCTTCTTTGTTTTCATCACAGTGTTAGAAAAGTTTTGAAAAACTTAGGTCAATGCAATGATTTCAAGGAACAGAAAAGTAGGTGAAAATCACTGCCGTTTCCTTTAGAACTTCTGGCGTAACTAGCTCAATGGCAGAAACAGAGGCAAAAGAAAGAGTATAAAAGACAAACATAAAACAAGATAGTGATGTCCGAGGTAACACCCCTGAAATCACCTAACTCTAACATAACAGGACTAACTCGATACAACAAGACAGACTCAATACAACACAACAAAACTAACTCAATACAACACAACAGAACTGACTTAATACCCAAGTCAGAAAGTAAAATAACCAGCATTTGCACATTGC